GTTATAATAAGTAATAATAAGTACAGTACACAGAGTAACAATAACGACAGATACAAAGTTGCTGTTCGCGCGGCGCTGCCTCTCATTACCCCCTTGTCCTTTCCCGGTCCGTTTGATTGCGAACTCGATCTGCATCCTGGCGGCGGAGCAGCCACTGTCAGCCAACTCGCTCTCTGCCTCCGCCGCGCCGCCGCTCCGCCCCGCCACGCGTCAACACGCCCTGCAACGCCGCGCCACGCCCCGCCACGCCCCGCCACGCTCCACACTGCGCTCTCCAGACAGTATACTCGCGGCAGCGTAATCGTGGCTTGCTTGTATGCTGATGGGAGCCTAATGAAGCGCGCTATGAGATGCGTTCGGAACCGTTTCGTGTGTGTGTGCTCACGACCTTACTGCAAGCGAGGGCGAGGGTAAAATCGATAACTAAGACAAACCAAAAGTTTGCCATTATGTACACTGCTGTCTTCGAAATTGCGATATTGACAACAAAAATTTAGCCATCTGCCGTTTTCCGTTTCCCATTTTTCATTGCTCCTAGGATATGATAGCTCGTTATTGCGAATAAAATGAAATACATTCCATACAGAGAAAATTTTTACAAAACAAATTTCGATAACTGCGTATTGCAAAACCAATGCAATAACCCTGTTAATCTGAAAACTCAACAGTGTACATTGTATTCTGAAAAATCAGCGATCATTAATGATTGCTGATATATCAGTGTACATGGCATGATTGCTGATATATCAGCAATCATCAATGATCACGTTTGGATTTTTGCCTAATATTTCCTTTTAGACGGGTGCCATCGGAAAGTGGATAGCATTTCTAGATTCCTCGTGAAAGAAGCTTTCAAACGAGCTACTATGAGATTGGGTTCAAATTCACCGCTACCATAACTTGGTTTACATTACCAGCATTTTCGAGAGGCGGACAATTTTGGTAGTGAACCATATCACATAGTAGCTCGTTTGAAAGCTTCTTTCACGAGGAATCTAGAAATGCTATCCACTTTCCGATGGCACCCGTCTGAAAGGAAATATTAGCCAAAAAACCAAACGTAATCATTGATGATTGCTGATATATCAGCAATCATGCCATGTGCACTGATATATCAGCAATCATTAATGATCGCTGATTTTTCAGCATACAATGTACACTGTTGAGTTTTCAGAGTATTAGAAATGTATCGCATTTTATTTGTGATAACGTGTTATGGCATCCTGGAAGTGATGAATAATGGGAATTGCAAAACGACAGTCGACAGTCATGGCAAGGACTTTGTGTTAATTTGATCTCCAATCCACTATCGATGTACGTTCGAATACGTAACTAGTGGAAATAAGATACGTATTTACCAACTATGATAGGAGGATGAGCAGAAGCTGCACCCAAAAACATTATTGACGGCTCTTGGCCAAGAACATTACTTGATCCTCGATTTTTCAAGTAATGTCTTGATCCAAGCGATAGAGCCAGAGAACCATTTATTTGATTGAACTAAATCAGGGTTGGAAAAAAAAAAAACATGTAGCAAACCCCATCTTTAACTAAATATGGCCGCGCACCATCCGAACTAAATCAAAGTCAGCTGGACAAAATTAATTCATCGTCACGGACAATATACGGTTTGCAGAGCTAAAATTTTATCGTGAACTCAACGGTCTTCTGCGTGTATGTACTTGAAAAATCAAGGAGATCAATGCACTAGTTCCAAGAACTCACTTTTTTGGGTCGTAAGCGTAAATAGAAAGAACAAGACGAACTCCAGTGAAATTAAGGAAGAGACGTTGTTCAGAAAATAATGGAAAATCAGTAAGTACATTTCGGAGCGGCTCTTCTGCGCCAAAGTCGGCGGCACATGGCCGTAACGCACTAGTATTACGCAGCGAGGAGGGTTTGGAAGGGGAGGGTGGTCACTAAATGGCGTGAAATAAGAGAGTGCGTGAGTGGGTGCGAATCAGTTCTCCCCACCACCTCCACGCGGCCCCACCC